CCTCCATTGTTTATCCTAATAAAACTCAATCTGATAGATATTTCGTTTGGAATATGAACTTTACATATGACTCGATATTTTATATTATCTTCGGTTAAAATCCCAACAATTTCTACAGTTTTTGTTAGATTTATTTCACATTCATAAGAATTAACACAAATTCCAATAGAAAAATATTTTTCAAATTCTAACAATATTTGTCAAAAATCGAAACCTTAATGATCATAGTGATATTTATGTATTTATTTTTCAAAGTAAAATATAATATGCATTATGAAATTGTTTGTTTTATTTCATACGATAACATTTTAATTAATATTTTATGTTAGATCAATTTTTTTTGTACGATTTTAATTTTTTATCTATTATAGAAAGTTTTATATTTTATTTTATTTTATTTTAAAATCCAATTCTTGATAAAAAAAAGTAATCAAATTTAATAATTTTTATATTAAAAATATTTCAATATAATTATATATTACTTGGTATAATTTGATTTGTTTTTGTTTATCTAATTGTATATAGCTATTTTCAACATAAAACGAAAAATATTAATTAAATAACGAATACATTAAATTTAGGTAATGAACATGAAAAAAATTATATAGATAGGAATAGAGTTTAGTTTGCTAAAAGTTATATAAATTTGATATTTAAATTATCTTTATAATTGATTAAAATAAAATTTATTTGATACAAAATTCATTTAAAAAACACTATATATATTTATTTTTATATTTATTTTAAATATAATACCTATGTTTAGGAATTTGAAAGTAATGTTCTAATGTTAACATTCGTAAAATTCAAAATTTTCATAGATATACCTCCACAAAATAAAATAATATTTTATTTAAATTAATATATGTTAGAATCAATAAAAAAACTAAAATTGTGTTAGAAACTCTTTCTTCCTTGAAAAATCCTGAAATGAAGGTTGTATTTATTAATAGAGATCAAGTTATGGTCAGTTTGAGTTTAGAACTGAACATGTTGTGGTAAATAGAGAGGGCCTCTTCCATGGTGTTTGATTTAGTCAACATCCAACCCCTCTCAAGATAGATATTTGTTTGTATTTAAAATATTTTCAAGATAAGTAACAGTTTACGGCCTTACGCGGTAATATGATCTATCAGGAAAAAAAAATGATAATGTAATATAATTCAACCAACAATGGGAGAATTTCATTAAGATAATCATAAATTTGATACATTATTTAATGAACTTCCATGTAAAGTACAATACATAGAAAAGACGGTAATTACCAAAAAGCTTCTAAATATCTGGATGAATTTAAAGAATAAAAAAAATATTTTCAATATTTAGCAATTGTGATCAGAACTTCATTGAAAATTTCAGACTGCAAAATAAATAAGAAAAAATATTGTGAAGATTAAGAATTATGAAAACTTCTGAAAAAGAATGTATTCCATAGATTAAATTATAAACACATGGTCTATAATTTTATATCAAAATACTTCTCTTACTAACCTTTTGTCGACGATTACAACCGTCTGAATTTCACAATTACTAAACCTGTAAAAAAAAAATTAAAAGTAGAGTCCATCAATTAAAATTGGATCTTGCGAGAAATGCTGTAACCTTTTTTAGGCTAAATCAAATGTTTCCCTAACCTCTTACACAACTCATGTTGAACTGAATCTTTTTTTTTTTTTTTTGGTTGAATGTGATTTATATTATATACCCAAAAAATTACAACCAGTCATAAGACTGTATACAAAAGTTTTCCAGAACCCATGAAGAAGTGGTCAAAATAATTCCTCAAAAGACATCATTCAATTGTTCTTAGTTGCGAATATTCATTGTAAGAAAATACCAATCTGAGAGCATAGATACTCCATCATCATTCGACTTCCTCGTAAGAGAGAGCAGCTTCGTCCGCATGATACGATCCACCTTCCACCTCGTGTACTCCATCGATTTCCGCTGGCTTCGGAATATTCGGTTGTTTCTCTCCTTCCACAAGGTGTAAGCTGTCACCTGCAAAAGAATCTTGGCAATCTGCTTTCTATTGTGGTTGACATCATTCGCCGGGTTGTTGATCCATTCTGAGCATTGTAGCGTGTTAATCGGTGGGTTCGGCCAACAAAGACATGCATAATAACTCCATACTGCAGCGCTGTAGCGGCATTCGAAGAATAAGTGATTATGTGACTCATCTTCTGCATCACACAATCCACAAGTCATGACGGAAGCTACTCCCCAACGCAAAATATGCAAAATATGCTGCAACATGATCCATGGTTCACAACTAATTTCATCATACAACATACTTGATCGTAATGGTTAACACATGATATTGTCCTAATAACAATTATGGAATTCTAATTATCACACATGTAAAAAACCAACTGACGCAATTTGTAAGAGTCTCTGAGGTTTGAACGTTCCCTCTGCGTCCATGTACGTCGCCTTTCCCACTCCACCTCCTTGATTCAACGGAAGCTAATAATTGAAAAATAAAATCCAAACAGTTGATACATCAGAAAAAACATATGAACCAATGACAAATGTTCTTACTTGGCAACTCACGCACAGTATGGCACAACTGAGTTTCCCCACAACAAAATTCACCATATATATAGATTTAAATATTCATAATCTCACGAAAAGTCAGTGAAAACAGGAAAAAAATCAAGGAAGTATATGTCTATACGTATCCTATTTTTAATTGGATGTATCAAGAGAAATTAATACAAAGGAAGTGCATGTCCCATTACAAATATTAGTTTCTAATTAAACGTAAACATGGATATGTAGTGGATGTATTTTATAGACCAAAATATATGGAAGAACCTATCATCTTACTTTTATATAAGATGAATGATGATATATTTAACTTACAGAAAATAATAATGGACTATAATTGAATCATATTTAAATTAATTGAATAGATTGACAATGCATGATCGATGTTGATTTTTCTGAAGTCCACGTATTTTCGTTTCAACTAAAAAAATTAATAAATGAATATATTTAAATAAGGGTGATGGTATTCTTCTTGTCACGCATTTTGAGACAAATACATGATGTCTTTGTTAATGTACGAAGAACTCATGAGTAACTCTTGATATTATCCATAAAAGATAATTTATTATGTAATTTGTAACTTTTGATATTCTAACATTGGACACGTGTAATTTGTAACTTTTGATATTCTAACATTGGACACGTGTCATCCACCCGTGAAGTGAAACTGTACTTTTATATATATTATAATAATTATAATTATATTATATATATTTATTTGTACTTATCTTTATTTATTCTTTTAAGAAATATATTTGAAAAGAATTCTAAAAAAATTATTCAATTTTAATTATATCAAAATTTAATAAAATTGATGTTGTAGGACCATACATATTTAATTTTAACACAAGATAAAATCAAAGTTACTAAACCTAGAGTAACACATTTATATTCGTAAAAAAATAAAATGTATATATGACACTAATTTATAACAACGTTTTAACAAAAAACAAAGGATGTCAATCGATATTTCATATACTATGATATTTATATTTACATATTGTTGATGTTTCAAAGACCAGAGTATATAATTATATGGTTTGTTCAAAGGAACATCTCCACGTAGTTTTAGTTATAAATCTTCTAAATACGAAATATTCAATTTATAGTGTAGAGATTGATATAATCTTATATTGTGACATTAATCTTTTGGATGTGGCAAAGAAGGAGGTCAGCCAAGAAATTGGACCTAGATAGAATGCAAATTTAAGTATACACGATGAGCTCGTTGAAATACTGATGGGATTATATAAATTTAGTATCCAATATCTATTGCAGAATATTTATTAAATTAAATATATTATTATTGCGTTGCTAACAACAACTAAATTATGTTGTTGTTTAAAACTATACTCTCCAAATTTTTCATGCTAAAATTTATCAAAACGTTACTGTGATATTCCACATTACAATCCTAAGTCAATTATTATATCGCATAATCGAAGAGTTTGGGACGGGTCAGTAAAGATCAACTAAAGTAATTTTGAATGATAGAAAAAATAAAAAAACAAATTTATTAAAATACAGATTAAATTAAATGAAAAATGTCAACTAAATGAGATCAATTATATTTAAATTAAAGTAGATCCATTTCATATGATTATTCAACTAATATTATTATAATAAAATATGCATAATACACAAATATGTTATAATGTTGGTTTTTAATTTTTAAGATAAAAATGATCAAATCTTAGTTTATAAAAAATATTGATTTAAATTGTAGTAAAACAAATGAAAGATATATTTATAAAATTTAAATACTAATGAGAATATATAAAATTAGTATTATAGCAGTATTTTATTGTGATTTGTTTATTAAATTAAATACATTATTATGACATTGTTAATACCAATTAAATTTATATTGTTGTTTAAAAATTTATTTTCCAAATTTTCGATAGTCACATTTCTTAAATACCAAGAGTAACTCTTTCATCGAGTAATAAAATTTATCAAAATATTAATTTTAATATTTTATATATATATTCTGAAATTCAATCATTTTCATTAAATATTTTATTTATAAGTGCACACGAAAAATGTTGATTTTCGTTGAAATCAAAAGGTTAGTGAAAAAATAGAATTAAATCATTTTATATTCAGTCAAAAATTTGAAAATGTATAAAAATTTGAATAGAGAAATCGGTATAGGGAATCGATTAATATTATCGGTTTAAATCTTTATATTTGATAGGTTTATTTTTAATACTCGTTTATTTTATTAAAATTACAAACAAATGGTCTAATAATAAATTATATTGCAGTTAATAATTTACATACGAAATATTTGAAGATTAATCTTTATTCGATATTGATACTCAAGCTTTGCATGAAGAATAAGCACGAAGGAGGGTGCACGTGAGGATTTTTTATTCCGTAAGGGTGATAACGTCTTTTACTTGATTTTAAAAGAAAAAGTAGACTTTTGTCAATGGGTTCTATTTTTTTGGTGTATCAAGGAAATCTAGGGTTTCGTCCTGCTCCTCTGTCTATCGTAGAATACGCCTGTGAAATTTAGTAAAATTTTCTTCAATTCGATTGCTGAATAGATATTATCTTCAGGAAATTTCAGTGTTTGGTTTTGATTCGGGTTCATGGTTCTCTGTATAGCTCGAACTCGACCCTTTGGACGTCTTAAGGGAATCGTTTGATTTTTCTGGGTTTTAATGGTGATCTCACTGATTGTTTGCTATATTTTCTCTGGTGCATATTTGTTCTGGGATGCTCAAATTGCTGTTCCTCTATGCTGATTTTATGGATCTGTCGTTGAATCCAAGAACTATAGTGATCTTACAGTTTATGAATCTGTACACAGGCTTGCTGGGCTTGCTTTCATGTTTTCATCGAGTATCCTCTTACAGATCCTGGTACGTTTGAAATCTCAGTCTAGTCATCAAGCTGTGATGAAACTATCATGTTGCTCCAACGTGCTTGGTCGAACAAAGTACAAACGTCTATAACTCTGCTTTCTTCTTCCATCGAAAAGAATAATATTATACACTAACCATCTATAAAATTGGTTTATCTTTGTGATTTCTTGTTGTACCTTCAACCTCCTTTTTCTTCCCGGCTGCTGGTAACAAGGAAGATCTGTGATGATCTTAGTCCTTTCTACGAGTGGTGGAGACTCTTTCTGCAGGAAATTATGGAAAAACTGAACCTTTCGTGTGTTTTATAGTTTTAGCTTCTCTTTCCCGTGTGTAGCCATACGATTGGTTCTTGTTCGGTCTTTTTTGGTTCAAGTTAACTACAAGAAGCAAGGATCTGATGTGCTTTTCTGACAAGTTTAGGAAATCAGGTCAAAGTTCCTCCATATCGTGTGAGTGAGCGAACAAACCATAATGCTATGAGTTTGAGTTTGATAATAGGTTCGTTTCTATTGGCAGGCTTGTGCAATATACGGTAATTGGTGGTCGATGCCCATGCCTTGTTTGTTCTTTGGAGGAGGTTCCACCCAATTCCTGATTAGCCGAGATGGTGGAGGGTAAGTACCTTTTGCCTTCATTATTGCTTGTACTATGTAATATGGAGATATGTTTCCTGGTCAAATCTATTGTGAGGTGAGGCCTAAGATCTAAAGAGACGATAATATCCCACTTTATCTCAGATCCGCGTCGAACTCAGAGGAAGTGAAATTTAAAATTCTAAAAACACCCTTTATTTTTATAATAAACAATTAACAGACTCTACCTATCAGGCTATCTCCTCTCCTCGCATATCTCTCTGCCGCAGAACGCTTCTGGTTCTTCGACCAAAGAAAAAACCTCTCCTTTATCCCTTTCATCATCTCCTCATCCATAAGGCGTTTTGTTGGGGATCTTCCGTTTTCTGTCGACCAGATCCGGATAACCTAGCCACGAGTTAGCAGATCTGCACGACATGTCTGTAAGGTAAATTCATATCTGTTTTTGCAAATCTTGATTCTTAGACCAAAGAAAAAACCTATCCTTTATCCCTTTCTTCCTTGCGCTCGGAGCTCTGCTGGGGATCTTTTGTTTTAGGGGTTTCTGTCGATCAGATCCGGATAACCTGGCCATCGGTATCTGTCTGTAAGGTAAATTCATATTCTGTTATCACAAATCTTGATTTTTAGTCCAAAGAAAAAACATTTCTCCATCTCCCCTCAGAGCTCTACTGGGTATCGATAATCAGTGACTCATTGGGCTTCCCTTAGTTCAATATTGTTTTTTGAAAATGAGTCGCCACCTCTCCCAGGATATCGTCGGTACTGTTCACTTCCCCACCGTTCTTGAAACTCGTTGTTCGATCGCAAAAGACCAAACTCATCGTCGACAGTCCGAGTTTTCGGTTCAGATTGCTCGATTGCGACGAATTTGAAAATCTTGCTCGCCTATCTTCTTAAAAAAACATACATCTCTAACTTTTAATTTCGTAGTAAATATAGGATGATCCTGTTGTGGTAAGGAACTAGGACGTGTTTCCTACCACGGGTTAACCCTTCCTGCGCTCTATGTTTTGTTCTCAGCCCGGGTCCTTGTACGTGAAGCTGTCAAGTCCATACGAGGATACCGTTTCAGTTTTTTTTAATCGTTCCTTGTGTCTATCTTTTCTAAGAGTCGGGTTCTCAGAGTGGGCTCATCGTCACTAGACAGTAGCCACACCTTGATAAAAAAAAGTAGGTGCAGGTAGTCCGCATTCCTATATTGGCTAATGGTATGCAATTTCCTATTTGAGAATTTATAAAGTTTTTTCGTATCTATACGCATGGGACGTGGCCAAGAAACCTACACTCCAGCAATCTGACATAATGACAATGATCCCAATAGAAGCGAAGAAATAACACAAGGTTTCTGCAAAACAATTTTCTAATTTTTATTTTTTGGTTTTGGGTCTTCTTTTTATATATAAAGAAAACAACTGAAAAGTGAAAACATATCACGTAATTGTCATAAAAATAAGGAAGAAAATGAAGTAAGTGTAAAAGGTCATGCTCTATAACTGCAGATTTAGTTTTCTGTCGAAACGTTCGGTCCTATCGTCCGGTTTCTTGGCGATCTACATCACATAACAAATCTATAACTGCACATACATACAGTATATTTAACATAATAACAGACAATATTTTTTTCCAACTTCCTCTATATCTTTTTTGCTTGTAGCGCCTTCATTATTGCTCCCACCTGCAGCGAGTCTGGTTTTCCCTTCATCTTCGAACGCTTCACATAAACTCAGACCCAGAAAAGTGTATCACAAAATCAATTGTAACCCAAGAATCTAAACAAGTACACCGACAATATTTGCATGATTTCAATCTGTTACCAATTTTATTTTGTCTCATGCGCCTTTTCCAATCCCACGGCTTCTCGAAATTTGTAGAATTCCACAATTCAAGACCCTTTTTAAGCGTTTCCTCTTACCACTATTTTTACATTAAAAATACGCTTTAATTTTACAAATTTTAATGGTCGTAACAAATTGACACGACTATCTATACCTTGCCAAATGTGTTTATTCTATTATCATAAGCTTCGTAATAATATGTGAATCCCTTTTGATACATTATTTGTTGCATTATTAAACCATCAAATTTATCATCAGAGTAGTGATTATAGTTAATATATAATAATTGTAGACACCTGTACAAAATTTCCACATCTATTATGAGTTTTTTAAACCAATCTTTTTCTTAACTAAAACCCTTAATTTTTTCTCATCAACGATTCGAATCAGTGCATCTTTTGCCTCTTCATCGAATGACATCCCGTGCTTTGGAGCATCTATTCCCCTGCTCAATTTGCATATCATATTCGTATTTTGTTTTTGGAACAAACAATTTGTTTCATAAACAAAACGAGACAAAAACACTTATTGTAACCTAATATCGCATCTCTGGGTAAGGATATAATCGCACTCTTATCAGATATCATCCTGAAAGAATAAAAACTCATAGATGTTTAGTAAGATACTGTGCTTATTTTAAATAAATATTCAATTCATCTGAAACCTTTTTGTTTAAGAAATTCTTTTTTTTTCCGGTTAAAATACTTGGATATATGAGTCTGGGATATCTGATAGTACATCACGATATTTTTCTTTATCAACCCAAACATTTATGTCGTCACCGTCATACACAGAATATTTGTCAATCTGATATATTTTAACTAAGTTACTAATTAAATGATAAAACGAAAAAACTAATTGATTTAAAAAGTTTATAACCCAACAAGTTTCAAATTCATATAAAACTTTAATATTTGTAATTTTGGAGTTTCAAATAACAGTACGGAGTACATGGAAAAATGAGAATCTCTCATAAATAAAAATGAGAATCTCTATTAGGCTTCGTTATTTATAATAGAGATTCTCATTTTTTTCATGTATTTCGCTTTGTTGTTGGGAGTTCCAAAATTACAAATATTGAAGTTCTATATAAATTTTAAACTTGTTGAATTAGAAACTTTTTAAATCAATTAATTTTTTTTCGTTTTATCGTATAATTAGCAACTTAGTTAATTCATGATATATCAGGTTGACAAATATTCTGTGTCTGACGACAACGATATAAATGTTTGGGCTGATGAAGAAAAATATCGTGATATACTATAAAAAGTGAGACGCGCGGCGCGTGCATGACAACAAGTTCATCTATTCACGGATTTTAACTGAAAAAAGAGAATTTCTTAAACAAAATGGTTTCAGGTGAGTTGAATATTTATTTAAACTAAGCTCAGTACCTTACTAAACATCTATAAGTTTTGATTCTTTCATGAATCCTTACTCAGAGATGCGAAATTAGGTTACAATAAGTGTTTTTGTCTCGTTTTGTTTATGAAACAAATTGTTTATTCCAAAAACAAAATATAAATTTCGTATGCAAATAGAGCAGAGAAATAGATGCTCTACAGTCCGAGATACCATTCGATGAAGAGGCAAATGATGCGTTGATTCGAAACGTTGATGAGAAAAAAATTAAGGGTTTTAGTCTATGAAAAAGATTGATTTAAAAAATTCGTGACAGATATGTATAACGATAAAAATTTTGTTTAGGCATCTACAATTATTATATGTTAACTATAATAACTTTTCTGTGATAATAAGTTTGATGGTTTAATAATGTAGCAAATAATTATTCAAAAATTATTCACATATTATTACGAAACTTATGACAATAGAATGAGCACATTTAGAAAGGTATAGATAGTCATGTCAATTTGTTACGACCATTAAAATTTATAAAATTAAAACGTTTTTAATGTAAAGACAGTGGTCAAGAGAAACGCTAAAAAAATGTCTTGGATGTGAAATTATTCAGATGTCGAGAAATCGTGGGATTAGAAAAGACGCATGAGACAAAATAAGATCGGTAACAGATTGGAATCATGCAAATATTGTCGGTGTTGTAAACAAAAAAGGTATAGAGAGGAAGTTGAAAAAAAAAATTTTGTTTGTTATTATGTTTCATATATTGTGTGTATATGCAGTTATAGGTTTGTTATCTGATGTAGATCGCCAATAACCGAACAATAGAACTGACCGTTTCGACAGAGAAAACCCAAATCTGCATGATCTTTTGCATTTACTCCATTTTCTTCCTTGTTTGTATGACAACTACGTGTTGAGTTTTCTCTTTTCAGTTGTTTCCTTTATTTATAAAAAGAAGACCCAAAACCATAAAATAACAATCAGAGAATTGTTTTGCAGAAACCTTGCAAATGGGAAGACGTCTTTGGATTTCTTAGCGAGGACTTTCAAGTATATCAATCTCCCGTTTGTGTTGTTAAATTATTGTCTCAGCCTTACAATGTGTTGTTCATCCTGCCTCCGTTGTGATGTTATTGGTATTTGCTTGGGGTACCACCAATTCTATATAAGAAAAACTAAAAAATATTTTCTCTATTGCCCTCATCTTTTGAAAATGGATTTACTTCTGCTCAAGTGTATTGGATCCCATCTTGTTACAGATTGAGAATGCCCTAGGAATTATTTAAGTGGTTACTATTAACGACAAGGGTGAACTCCTTGTGGGAACTCCAACCAAGCGGTTTGTAGACGCTCAAACACAAAGGAGATGGAAATGGCACCGTGCAAGATTGTTAAAGCTCAAAATGGTGATGTCTGGGTCGAAGTAAAAGTACTCTCCTTGCCAGATTGGAGCTTTTTTGCTCGCGCAAATGGATAAATACCTTTAAACACTTTTCGAGAGTGTTACTGTTAAGGTTTCAGGTTGTTTCAAGGATGCACAATCGAAGTAACCTTCTACATTGATCTCTGGGGCAATTTTACTGTCTTTGCCATAGACGAAGCCACTGGGAAAGACACGGAGTTGGACTTTCTGACCGACAATGGCCCTTTAATGTCTACAATATTGAGAAGTGGTTGAGCAAGTACAGAGAGAAAATACGTACCGAGATTGCGACAGAGATTGAAACCGTTGTCACAATTTAGGAGAGCCAATTAGTTGTTTTGCTATGGAGCCTCTGATTCTCTACTCACGGGTGACAAGCCACGGGATTGCGAAAAGAGTCTCTGTAAGTGCTTGGGTAAGTCCAAAGCTGCAATAGAGGCTCTTTGGAATATAGGCCAACACATGTCTGAAGGATCTTCCTCCGGAGGGAGTGACTTGGGTACCACCAATTCTATGGAAGAACGGGTAAAAAAAAACTTTCTCTATTGCCCTCATTTTTTGGATTTCAGTTTACTTGTTCAAGTGTATTGAATCCCATCTTGTATTGTAGAGTGAGAATGTCCAAGGAACTCTTTAAGAGGTTGGTATTAACGACGAGGGTGAGTTCCCTGTGGGAACCTCGACCAAACGGTTTGAAGGTTCTCAGACAGAAATGGAGATGGAAATGGTACCGCGCATCATTGTTCAAGCTGCAGATGGCAATGTTTAGGCCAAAGCAAACAGGCAACAGTATTTTTCTAGGCAAAAGCACACCTTGGAAAAACTTTGACCGAAGCTAACTTCCGTCGTTTTGGTAATTTACTAGACGCACCACTCAAAGTATCCTTGTCCATTTTTCCCCATGATGGCGTAGTTACTGTCTCGACCGAAGAGATACTACCCTACTGGAAAAAGCTTAGGAGAGCGGCAGAAGAGGACGGGGAGATCATAGCCGAAATGGATGCGGCAATAGAGGCTAAAAATAAGACCTCTTCTCATTAAATTAAGCGACACTACCCACATGTCTGTGGTCGAGTGGTATCTGGACTGGAAGTGAGGGTGTTCCTCCTCCAGGTCAGGGGTTCGAATCCAGACATGCGGGAAGAGAGAGGCATAGCCAAAGACTGTGTGTTCAAATGCTGCTACCGGACCCAGAGAGATGTAGGTTGGACCGAAGATCCAAATGAACTTCCTGTTTTGATAAAAAAAAAAAAAAAAAATTAAGCGACACTAGTGTGTGTATATATATATATGACTTTTTTAATTTTTTTAAATAGTTAACGTGATGAGTTTGGTTTTTATATTACATTCGCTTCGATTTAATTATTTTATTTTGGTTCAGATTATGTTTTTATTAGTAGTGATTTTTCTAAGAAGGTTTTAATTAATTTATTTATTTTTTATTTAGTTCGGTTTGATTCAAATTCAGTTTTTCGTGTTTAAAAAATCACAATCATCCGGTTTTTATATAGGATTTAATTTTATTATTGTTATTTTTTAATCGGTTTAACTTTTCGGTTAATGATTAAAGTGGTCACACACTGTTTTTTGGCAAAACGTTAGAAAAGTAAAGACGATAGGGTTTTGTACTCAGAAGTGTGAAAAATGTGTAAATTGTTATTACAAATTGACGACATGGACCATTATCATATTAAATAGTGATAATCCAAAAAAAAAAATCTAACTTTACAATTTTGACTGAAAAAATATTAAACTTTTGTTTTGGTTAAAAAACATTAAATTTTTTAAACGAGTTTAAAAAATACTAAAGTTTTTAAATTATCCAAAAAAAATAGTTTTTAAATGATCCAAAAAAATATATAATCTTTTATGCGATTGTTAAAAAATACTAATTTTTTTAAAATGATTAAAAAATACATAAACTATATATAATTGTCAAAAAAAATAACTATACTCAGTTTGTTATAGACTATATATAATTGTCAAGAAAAAATAACTATACTCAGTTTGTTTATTTTGACAATCATAAAATAATTACGTATTTTTTTGATAAATTTAAAAGTTTAATATTTATTTAACAAAATAAAAAATTTAGTATTTTTTTGTCAAAATTGGAAAGTTCAGTTTTTTTTAAGTTTTCATATTAAATATTAACAAGATTAAGTTTTTTTTATTCAACCAAAAAACAAGATTAAGTTTTTTATTTGACATTTTTCCAGTATTATCGTAACATAACATGGGCCTTTTCCTGAACCCATAGGATTTAACGATAGAGAGTCAGACAAGTAGAACAACCATCACCGTCACATGAAGAGCTTATGGGCTTTTATGGTTTGGGCCATTAACAATTAACAAAAACGCCCATTAAACATGAATAATTGGAGTCCAACATGGCAACATCCAGCCATATGGGCCATTATCCTTGTGTTGCCGCGTGTCACTTCCACATTCATGTATTTCATTACACATCGATAACCATCATCATCACCATACCATAACATATACATATCGTATGTATGTACACATTTTCCATGAAAAGTCCCAAGCTCAAAACAATATGAAAAAAAAAACCAACGGAAGGAATTTTTAGAGTTTTTTGAAATTTAAAAATAAAAAATAATCAATCAAATTTTTATAAATTTAGTTTTTCTAAAATTTTGAAAATAATTGAATAAAAAATCAATTAAAAATCAAATACTTTGATTTGTAAATATTACAAAAGACAAAAGCAAAAAATCAAATTAAAAACCAAAAATAAAAAACTTTAAAAAAAATCAAAATAAAAATTCAGGAGAAGAAGATAAGACATTTGTGGAGAAGTTGCGCCAAAATATGATCCAACGGCCGAGATTCACCGACCACTCATCCATCTTTCTGATTCTAATCCATCTGTACATAAAATAAAACCAGAGAAACGAGAGAGAGAGAGAGAGAGAGGTTCAAATGGCGTCGTCGATCGTGATAAGCTTCGCTCCGGCGACGGTGAGGGTAAAAGCGACGGCGGCGAAGGGAGCAGCGTCGGTAGCGAAGGAGGAGAAGGGTTTTATCGATTGGTTGCTGGGGAATTTGACGAAACAAGATCAGTTCTACGAGACGGATCCCATCCTTAAGAAGGTCGACGGCGGCGACAAGAACTCGGTGGCGGTGCCGCCGAAGAAGAACGGTGGCTTCGGTGGGCTCTTCGCCAAGAAATGACAGCCCGTTGAATTCTATCCATGTTCTGTCCCTTTTGCTTTAAATGATCAAAATTATTCCTTCATGATGCAATATCATCCATTTCGTTTCATTTCAATTTGGTTCAGCTGACACATTATCATCTCTACATGCATACAAGCAGTTTGAACATTTGATTTGTGTGTCTCATAATATAGGAAACCCATTGTTTATTCAATACAAGAACTTGAGATCCTGCGATTACGGGGGAGAAAGGGAGAGAGTCAAAAGGGTTTGTAATAATATCATCAGTTGAATCTTCTACAAACCCCATGTTACAAGAGTGAACACATTGAAAAAGCCGAGGGCTGGACCACCGTTATATATGTAGGCTCTTATATATATGCATCTGAATCAATAGATACAATTTTGCCAATTACACTCAAAAAGTTCTTACAAATATTCCAACCCATCAAGCAAAAGAGCTCCTTCTACACGTGTTATTTCGACGGTATAACCCTGGCTGGCCGCAACCAAAAAAACAAAGAGCAGCATGGCCCGAGCCGAGATACAGAAATGCACGAGGATGATAAAGGGGGGCTTAGCTCGTGCCATTGACAAAGAGAGCAAGTTCCTTTGGGGCCACTACCATATCCAACCATTCCTGCAGTTCTTCTCCTTCCACTTTCTCTCTCTCTGAACCCACCACCCAATTCGTCTTTCGGTTAGATCCAATCCAAAACTCGAAAAAAAATGACCTTGGTACAGTGTCCAGGAGATGCATTACCTTCTAGTCGAGCCCCGAGCCCTTCCAGTGCATCTGGATTAGCTCGTACCACACACCGTGCAGCATCCAAGGCAGCTTGCAGTAATTTTGTCACCTCACTTTGAACAAGATCGACCAGTTGTCCCTGTGAATGAATGAATGAAACATAAAGGGTAAGCCTTTTTTTTCTTTTCTTTTTTCCATTTCGGGCAAGTGCATTGGCAGAGTGAATTTAGTTACCTGATCTCTTCCAAAGGCTGAGCCCTCGGAATCTTCAATCCCGCCACCAGAAAGTGTGGACAGAGACACGGGGCCGATTTTCTGGTTCAGACCATATTCAGCTACCGCCTTGTACGCCATGTCAGTTGCCCGTCTAATATCGTCAAGTGCACCTGTCGAAACACGCCCTGAGTAAACAACTTCTTCTGCTGCACGTCCTCCGAGAAGGGTAACCAAACGGCCACGTAGTTCGTCAACGAAGAGCAGATATCTGTCTTCACTGGTTGGAGGAATGTATGTAAAGCCCAATGCCCCTCCGGATCTCGGCAATATGCTTAGTTTCTAAAAAACCCACAAACAAGCAAACACAAACACAAGGTCAATTTATCATGTACAAAAAACAGTAACTATCACTCACGAGAAAGGAGATAGGTGTTTCGCTCTTGTCTTCACGAAAACAAATCATAGATCGTCTGATACAATATGTCATGGATGTGTAATGAATCAAAGAGCCTAGAGAGACGTAATCAGCATATCCAAAATCTGAGTTTACATATATAGAATCATTGTTTACCTCCACACGTGGCTGCCCAGAAAGAAGATTTGCAACGGCTGTGCCGACAACAGCATGCCCAGCTTCATGTCTTGCAACCACGGCCTTCTCACCGCCTTGTAACTTAGCAGTTTTCTTCTCTATGCCCTGGAATATGTACACTGCACACTTAGCTCCATGAAAGAAAAGAAAGATGTATCCTTTTGTGCGCTCAAATTGAACCAGAAAAAGGAGAGAGAGACAAACAGCTATAGACCGCTCCACAGCCTGAACAAAGTCTATTTTCTCAACAGTCGTCTTGCTCTTCCTTCCGGCCAGCAAAGCGGCTTCATTTACCAGGTTTCCAAGGTCTGCCCTGCAAAACCAGAACACAAAATTTTCACGACAATACAACACGTAAAACAGATCACGGAAAAAGGCTTCTGGCTGAGGAACAGTAGAAAGTATACCCGGTGAAACCGGTGGTCGTTGAGGCGATATCGCCAAGATTGACATCATCTCCTAGAGGAAGCTCCTTCTTTGAAACATGCACTTTCAAAATGGCTTCTCTTCCAGTTCTGTCAGGTGTTTCCACCTGAAAGTTATGTCGGGCAAAAATCTGATAGATTCCTTTGCTCAAACTGCCTGATAATCTAACAATAAGTCGGGAAGAATCATTCTACCAACCAAAACAACACGATCGAATCTCCCGGGACGACGCAAGGCGGGGTCTAAGACATCGGCTCGATTCGTAGCTCCAAGAACAATAACAGAAGAGCTACTGTCAAAACCATCCATCTCCTGCAACCCGTTATTGCATGCAACTAATGTAAATGACCCATACTAAGCATGTTTCTTAAGCAGGATATATGTATGATCACAAACTTACAGTGAGCAACTGATTCAGAGTTTGCTCTCTCTCATCATTGCTGACAATTCTGAATTTGCCGTCACGGCTTTTTGCCACAGCATCAATCTGTGGCAATGAAACAACAACCAAGTTTGCTAAGATGTTCAAACATAAAAAGCGCAGTAGGCAACCGGCATTGGCCACATGTTCTAACCTCGTCAATAAATATAATCGACGGAGCCTCCTTCTTGGCCCGCGCAAAAAGCTCTCTTACACGTGAGGCACCCATGCCGACATATAACTCTACAAACTCACTCGCGGAACAGCTTATGAAAGGAACCTCGGCTTCCCCAGCAACAGCCTTTGCGAGAAGGGTCTTCCCTGTTCCAGGAAGACCAACCTACAAAAGCAGGAGGCAAAGAGCTCTGGTCACAAAAGGTCAGCCGTAAACTATATATCAGAAAGGATGAAATTGCACATGCTAAATCATCAATTTAGATGATTAACTTACCAATAGGACACCACGAGGCGGACGAGCACCAAGACGGGTATACCTATCCGGATTCCTGAGAAATTCCTGCAGCAGTGTAGAGATACCAGACTGAGAATAAAAGCAACTACAGAGAGGTTTAAATGATCTATCAGATAGGCGAGACATGACATATCTAAGGATTGAATATCGTACCACAATCTCTTCCAGCTCCTCCTTCGCTTCATCAACACCCGCAACGTCTGAAAACGTGATCGTTTCACCTTGCCCGGAAACCTTGCCCCCAACTGGACCACCAGACTTGCGGGTCCTAAGCTGGCCAGTGGTAGTCTGCATATATACTCTCAACTTTTCTAAAGATACACTAGCATTTTGCCTAAATTGAAACAAGCGCAAGACAATATAAAGCAGATGCAAACCTGGGAAAAGCTAACAGGGAATCGGTGGAGAAGCCCTGCAAGCACCGCAATGTAGAAAAGAACTATCTGCAAAAAATTTATTTTCAGTTAAAGTGCTTCACAAACAGTTGAAAATGACGCAACTTGAACAAGCCAGACCCCTGAAAAGAGCCAAACTTTATAGAACATTTCCCCATCTGATTTTATTGTTAAAGCACCAACCATTACAATGCAAACCCATCATCACAAACGAGTTGCATACTGGTTAACTACAATGGCCTTACCAATCCAGAGTTGAAAAAGCCACCAGAGCGCTTATCTGGTGACCCGAATTCAACGTTATTCTCGAGCATCTTCTCGTATGGCGTTTTGATGTCGCTCGGCCTCATGGTGGAATATACAATTCTCTTGGTCGGAGCCACACTTCTTAAGAGAGATTCTGATGACTCCGGAAGCCTACTAGGCTCACTCTCTTGCCAATCTCCTTCATCTTTCAACTTAAACAGGATATGAACTCCATCAACCTTCACCTTCTGCACCTGATTACTGTTAATTCTGCTCAGAAAGTCACTGTACGGTACGCTCACGAAGGTCGTCTGGCTCCGGGGCTCCGACCCGGGTAACGGAATTCCGGGTCGCAACAATCGCGTCACAAACACGACGATGCCCAATTGTAATAGCAAAACCCCAATCTCCTGAGCCTTGAGTATGGGTTGCCGCTGCCATTTCTTCCCCTTTGACCACCATAGCTCAGCTTTCTCTTGCTTCTCTCTCTTCCGCTTCGACGACGACGAACCCGAATTCGCCGGAGAATTCTGATCTCCTTCACCATCACTACTCGAAGTAGCATTCTGATTGCTCTCTTGACAGTTCACAACGGTCCTTCTCTCCTCCACCCGTCTCTTCTTCCCCGAAAACCCTTCCCAGAGACTAAACCTACCCGGGAGTGTCGATACTGTAACCGGTTTCTTATGCAGAGGGAGCGGGATTGAATTGGAAACAAGGCGGTTCGGATTATGGCGAAAAACCACAGACCGATCGTAGAAAACGCTCGAAGCATTCGAGTACAAGAGACTGCAACTCGAGCAGGTGGAGAATCCGAACCTATCGCGGATACCTGGTTGTAGGAATTCGACTGTAGACATCCTTCGAAACCCTAGGAATTGCGGAGAATCAAACGGGGCGTATCTCGCATTTGTTCTTCCATTTTATATCCATATGGATATCTATCTCTCTGTCTGGTTTGGACAAGAAGAGAGGAGTAAGAGAAGACGCGGAGAATGCAGGGAAGCGAGTCTTCGAATTTGGACCGTTCGATTGAACTTCGATATCGATTTTACGCCGTTCAAATTCTGGACTTTGGCTCCACGGAGTACCGGCCAGTGGAGGAATCCAGTGTTTTGCGGAGTATGGTTAAACATAAACGTGGTCATATATTACTGGTGAATTGGATTGTATTATGTGGCTACCACAAGGCATATGGGCCCCACATCTGATTATTTTTTTGGGGATTGGGTAGGCCCTATGATAAATTTATCAATTTACCTTTGGATATGATATGAGCACAAGAAAAATGAACCTAATTGGCCAATTGAAATTTAACCATTTCCTTATTTATTCTGTTGAATTAAATTTCTGTAAATTGTATTTTTTTTCTAATTAACCGACTAACACCCGTTTTGTGTTTTGTCGTTATCTTTGTTCTTCTTAAGAGTCGCAGGGAAAATAAAATTAGGGCTTTTATTTTGGGTTTTTGGCTTTAGTTTTTGGTTTTTAGTTTTTAGTTTTTGGTTTTTGGCTTTTGAATTTTATAATATTTGAAAACTCAAAAAAAGTAGCTTTTGGTTTTTCATTGATTTTTTCACTAAAATGGTTTTCCAACTTTTTAGGAAAAGTAATTTTGTAAAAACTTAAATGTTGTTTTTTTTTGTTTTTGGATTCTAAAATCTCCAAAAACTCCTCCCATTCAAGGCCTAGATAACATTTGAAACCTTTTGACATGTTAGACAAGACAACATTTCTGGTTCCGTAGCCACGGGTGCTTTGTGTTAGGGTTGGACGTTTTTTTACTGTAATCTAGAATCGAATCTTATTAAATCAAAAAATACGATATCGTTTTCGAAACGAATGGTCAAAATTTTTAAATAGTATTTTTTAAAAAAACTAAATTTTCAAAATTAAATCAAATCAAAACGAATTTTAAAACCCCTAAAAAACCGAAAATTTGTTAAGAACATCTAAAATCTTTTTAATAAAAACCGTATCGAAACCGGATTGAACCAAATATAAAATAATAACCGATTGGTACATATTTTTGTTTTGTAAAACTAAAAAACCGAACCTAATAATTTAAAAAATAAATCCAAACTAAATACCAAAACGGTCACTTCTACTTTATTTAGGTCAAAATATGCAAAGTTCACCATATATATATATATATATATACACCAAAGGGAGATGGATAATTTACTGGGTATAGATGGATACATTTTGGATGGAATATATTTAAATGCCACCATTAGTTGGATTTGGAAAAATCAAAATAAGTACCTCAATTTTATAAAATATATTAAATAAATACCTAAATTTTTAATTTAATCTAATTGATATATCAAATGTTAAAATATTTCAAATTGATATCTCAATTATTGAAATATTTTAAATAGATATATCTCAACTCACGAAATTGAAAGCAATTTACAATTTCAATTCGTTTTTCATATTGTAATAATATCTAATATATGCATTGTCAAAGTCGAATTTCTAAAATACTATGATTTTGTGAATTTTGATTATTAGATTAAAAATTAGCATAGATTATCGTTATAATCGAAGTTGAGAATTGACATCAATTTTATAAAATAAAATAATTATTTTGAGTATTTTAATATTTAATATATCAATTTGGAATATTTTAAAATTTTGAAATATCAATTAGATTAAATTAAAAGTTTAGACATTAGCTATTTATATGAAATTTTACCTTTGGATTTCGCCTCAAATCCAACATTTTTATCATGTATATGTACATAGTCGTGATGCAACCAAAACATTAAATGGATATTTCTCCTCTCTGATTATGAATGGCCTGCCCATTGCATCACGCATGGATATGGAGGATCCACGTGTCATCCAGCTTGTCGGATATAAGAGTGGCTGACTCAGAGGTGAATTCGGAGTCTCCGAAGCGAAGAATCGGAAAGAATGGTGGGCGAGGCGTCGTGCGTTTACAGAAACGCACACGCGCCCGTGGAGGCGCGTGTGAAGGACCTTCTCTCTCGTATGACTCTGCCGGAGAAGATCGGTCAGATGACTCAGATCGAACGCCGCGTCGCTTCTCCCGCCGCCATCAGAGATCTCTCCATCGGTACTCTCTCTCTCTCTGGTGTAAGAGTTTGGGTAAAAATTTGGGAGGAAAAGAAGAATTTCTTGGTAGATTTGGAACTGCCATAGTTGTGCCGCCCAACTCAACAGCTGAATATGAACTCCTTTTCTATTTTCTTTAACAAAAGGTCAAAAATTGATCCTTGTTTTCCCTTTGGGTTTCGGATTTTTTGTCATTCACATGTCATGTATGTATTTGCTGCTGCAGGTAGCATACTGAACGCCGGCGGAAGTGCCCCTTGCGAGGACGCGAAGGCGTCGGACTGGGCGGACATGATCGACGGCTTCCAGCGTTCCGCGTTAGCGTCGCGTTTGGGGATTCCTATCATCTACGGCACTGACGCCGTCCATGGCAACAACAACGTCTTCGGCTCCACCATTTTCCCCCACAACATCGGCCTCGGCTCCACCAGGTCCTTTTGATTCCCTGTGGGTTTTAGGGTTCCAAGTTGAAGTTTTTTTCATAGAAAGCTTTCAACTTTTAGTGGAAACGATACTTAAAGATGCCATTGCTTAAACAAGTTTTCGACTTTGGTTGCGGTTCTGTATTTTTACTATATACATATTGACCCGAATCTCCAACGATGTTCAACATTTGTCTAGATATTGTATGTTTCGGTTGAACTTGCTTGAAAGTAACTTGATTTAGATCCTTTTTCCAGATTTAGATTCATGCCATTGATCGTTATTAATGTATAAATGAAAAGGAAAGGGTGTGGCTTTTGTTTAAATCTTGTGGTTCAATCATCGTTTCTTCATTGCAATCTCTTGTGAAAGAGGTTTTTTTATTTTCTTTCTCATCCTTCCTTTTGGATTAAATGTAGAGATGCAGAATTGGTCAGAAGAATCGGGGCCGCAACTGCTCTTGAAGTAAGAGCAAGCGGAGTTCACTGGGCTTTTGCTCCTTGTGTGGCCGTAAGTTCTTGTAGGCGTAAATTCGTACAGGAATGTATGATCGCAAAGGATAAAGGACCGATCTTGTTCTTTCGTCCTTTTCAAACAGGTGTTGAGAGACCCGAGATGGGGACGATGCTACGAGTGTTACAGTGACGACACCGCTATTGTTAATGAGATGACTTCCCTTGTCTCAGGCTTGCAAGGCGAGCCGCCCGAGGGACATCCTCATGGTTACCCTTTTGTTGCAGGAAGGTGTGTGTATATATATATATATGAATTATTACAATTATATATAATCATATATATAACTTAATCATCGAAATATTTGTTGGTTGTGGATGGTAGGAACAACGTTGTTGCCTGTGCGAAACACTTTGTTGGAGATGGTGGTACGGATAAAGGCATAAACGAAGGGAACACCATAGCTTCATACGAAGATTTGGAGAGGATCCATATGGCTCCGTATCTGAGATGTCTTGCTCTGGGAGTTTCTACGGTTATGGTCTCTTACTCGAGCTGGAATGGACGTAAACTCCATGCCGACCGCTTTCTCTTGACTGAAGTTCTCAAAGATAAACTCGGTTTCAAGGTCATTGAAAGAAGAAAAACCGATCGAATATGCTTTGAATAAAATGAAAAATTGGCGTTTTGAGGCAGTTTCTGTATTTTTTTCTTCAGGGGTTTCTGGTTTCAGACTGGGAAGCTCTCGATCGGCTTAGTGAACCGGAAGGTTTAAACTACCGTGACTGCGTAAAAACAGCTGTTAATGCCGGAATAGACATGGTACTAGAATCTGAGATATCTCATGTTAGTGAATGATTGATGTTTCTCGGTTTTGGTGACGGAAGAGGGGCAAGAATTAACCATTGTGTCTCTGCAGGTGATGGTACCTTTCAAGTACGAACAGTTCATACAAGACATGAAAGATCTGGTGGATTCAGGTGAAATATCGATGGCTCGGATTGATGATGCTGTTGAAAGAATTCTCAGAGTGAAGTTTGTTGCGGGTCTTTTCGAGAATCCTTTCTCTGACAGATCTTTGTTGGGTGTCGTTGGCTGCAAGGTCTGTTCTTTCGTACCAAGTTACTACAACCAGATTGAACTTAAGAGATGGATTTCGAGACAGTGACTTGAGTTACATATGTTTAGTTTGGGATATTTTAGCAATGGCCCGAAGCACAACCTGTAGTTTAACGTTGTATCTGCATGCATACATACGCAGGAACACAGAGAATTGGCACGAGAGGCGGTTAGGAAATCGTTAGTACTGTTGAAGAACGGAAAAAGTGGCGGTAGCCCGTTTCTACCTTTGGATCGGAACGCCAAGAAAATTCTAGTAATAGGAACACATGCGGACGATCTTGGATATCAATGTGGAGGATGGACGAAAACATGGTTTGGTCTAGGCGGTCGGATCACAATTGGTAGCCCACTATTTCTGAATCTCATTTATTGAAATCTCGGGTATTATTCGAAGCGATGATGATAATATCGAAGAAAACGAGTACTGTATTTGCAGGGACAACACTCTTGGACGCCATTAAAGTGGCTGTTGGGGACAAAACTGAAGTGATCTACGAGAAAACTCCATCAGAAGAAACCTTAGCATCATCATGTCGAGACTTCTCCTATGCCATTGTTGCAGTGGGGGAACCTCCTTACGCAGAAACGTTGGGCGATAACTCGGAACTCACGTTGCCTTTCGATGGTAGCGACATTATAGCAGCAGTAGCCGAGAAAATCCCGACTCTGGCGATCTTGATCTCGGGAAGGCCTTTGGTTATGGAGCCGAGGGTTCTTCAAAGAACCGAAGCCGTGATCGCGGCTTGGCTTCCGGGAACCGAGGGCCAAGGGATAACTGACGTCGTTTTTGGGGATTATGACTTTGAGGGGAAATTACCGGCGAGCTGGTTCAAACGGGTAGAGCAGTTACCGTTGAACGCCGAGGCTAATAATTCGTATAATGACGAGCCTTTGTTTCCAATGGGGTTTGGTCTGAAGATCAAAACCGGTTGAACCGAACCGGTCTGGTTCTGGGAACGTGACGTCATTAAAGGGCATATCCGTCATTTGGGGTAAATCCCTTTTACTAGATTAGGCGTAATATATACACCCTGATTGATTGATTGACATACACCAAGGCCAAAGTATATATGTAAATCATGTCACGATTGCAATTCAACGTTTTTACATGAAACGGCAACGTTTAAAATGGAGCTTTTCTTGAGCAACGTGCATATATATATATATATATATATATATATATATATATATATATATTGACTTTTAAGAGAGCAAAAGCTAGTGGGATATCAAAGGTGTACAAGTTAAAAAATAATGAATCAAGTTGTTGCATTGTATGGTTAATTTTTTTTATATATAACGAAAGAAACTCTCACGACCCTTCAGTGTAAGAGTAAATCCATTGGTTCTATATATAATAGTTTACAAATCACGTGAAACAGTTAAACCAAACGAAACTGACATGTTTCGAAAAATTCATGATTTGAACGGTTGAATCCAAGGTTTCGAGATAGAGGAAGAAGTTCTTAACCAATGAGTTGGAAACTTTTTCGGTATATATGTATATTTTTTTTATAACCCGAAAGATAATCAATTATATTTTTCAAAAGATTGGAAAAGTTAGGATTGTATGTGAGTATGTTAGATATTATTCGATGAATCTAAGTACTGAAGGCAGTAGATACAACCGAACAGACAAATTTTATTTGACAATGTCATTGCGTTTGATGTCGAGACAACTTGGGAACAAATGCACGGATGAAACGGTGCGTTTTCAGCTCCGTTTGTTTATGCGTGGGAATTATATGTGAGGGTAACTAGAGTGAAAAGAAAGAGTGGAATTGAATGACTGGCCATTACTACTGCTACTGCTATTGCTCCATGGGATTATTAAAGCGGGAGAGTTAACGGTAACGGAGCTTTTGACGTGAGCTTCGTCGTCGTCTAAGTTGAAAGTGGTGATGTCGTGAATGCTGGCTCTTCTCTTGTCTTTGCCTCCCGACAGCTGTCGGATGAAGTACTTCTGCGCATGGCTTGCCACCTGTGTCGGCGTCCTCGTTATCACGTAGTTCCTCGATATGTTCCTCCAGTCTCCTTTCCCGTATTTCTTCAGTCCCATTAGAAATAGCCTGTCCCCGTTTATATGTATATATGTACACGGATCAACCACGCGATCTCTGATCTTTAGGTTTGAAGACGGAACAAGACAGTGACTGAAGAAACTTACTTGTGTTCCTCCTCCGTCCACGGAACACCTTTCTTCCGTTCATGCTCCGGCGGTCTGGCCGCCGTTGGCCGCTTGTTCCCCATCGCTTTCAATTCCTTGTAGCCGGCGGCGGCTGTCCAGTCCAACGTGAATTGCGGCGATGGCATGATGTAACCGGGTACCGGCACTAAACCGGCCTCTATGTTGCTTACGTCAGCCTCCAGCTCCGTGTACTGCTTGATGACATCACTCACCGTCTTCCCCGGTATCATCGCCGCCACCTTCTGCCACCTGTCCGGCGAGTCCTCGTCGTACACCGCTAGTGCGTTCTCGAACGCCTTGTTCTCCGCCGCCGTCCATGTCGCCCCGGCGGAGCTGTTCTTCGCCGTCTCCTCCGGCCGAAGCCAGTTCCCGCCGGTCACGTGCGATGTCGGCCTCAGAATCTCCATGTCCTCTGTCTTTTGCGATCGATCTACTCAGAGCGACATGGCTCTGGGTTTTTGACCCGGATGAAAATCTCGGGCTCTCGGGTCAAAAGATCGAGAGTGAAGGAAAGATCTAGGAAGAGATAAGGGTATCAGAAGAAGAATAATACAAATATCACTGTCAAATCACGACACATTTGTTTACGGAAATCGGAATTTCTTTTCCTCCCCCACTTCAAGGAATCTGTAAAAGCTCCCGCCTTTGGAAAGAAAATTCAGAGAAATCAAAAGGAAAATCCGGGCGAGATCTGGCACTGGATTTTTTTGGGATTCAAATAGTTTTTCCTGGGCAAATGGAAAATAAAAAGCTTTCCCAATTTGGTGGAGCTAAAAAGCTCGCGCTTTCTGAGCTTCGTGTAAGGATTTGGAAATCTGGGCTCAGAAAATTTTCTCGGGAAACGAACAAGCGACAGGAAAGTAAAATCAGGAACTTCAAACAGCCACCTCGGAGCTTACCCAATCAGGAATACACAAAGAAGAACACGAGCCAGGAAAGGAAAGGAAAACTGAAATCGGAAACCAGATTCCAAATATTTCTTCATCAAAGGAGGAACACGCAGAGAAAGGGTGCGATGACCAGTGATTTTATAATTCAACCCTTCGCTAGAAAGTAAATGATGACGGATTATTTTTTTTTTCGCATGAAAAAAAATTTACTGCAATACGGAAAATATCGAAATGATTGGTATTCAGTATTCTTACTCGACGTAATACAAACTGCAAAAGTCTTTCAAATTAAAATAGAAATTATATCTTTGGCGACGTTATAAAAATAAAAAAAAGGAAAGTATATTCCGTACAACAAAAAATTACCCAAGAAAACTATACTTCTACGAATCCTATATACTTTTTTTTCTCTGAGTTTGTTTTTATTCAGTTGAGAATCGATCATATTAAGGATATGATTGAAAAGAGTTAAAGATCTTTGAAATTTTTTATAATCAATTTCTATATAGCTAATTATTTTTTTATTCATATTTCGTCCTATAACCAAAATGTTTTTGTTTGTCTATATAAAATTTTAGTAAACCCATATAATTTTAAAATAATGGTTTAAAAACATTTAAATTATGACTAAATTAATTACAAAAAGTATTATATATAATATTAAAGTTAAGGCCGCGATCAATCACGGATTTAGTCCAAAATTTATATCCCTCGAATACAAATCAACATACAGACGAATAGTAATTGTTAATTGTCATATTAATATACTTTTTTTTGTATTCGGTTATTTTGGACCGAGATCTAGATTAATCTTGGGGCCAGGAGTAAGTTATATGATTAGAATATATACTTTTTCGTTAAATTGATACTCGAATTCGGGACAAGACAAATCTTTTGCGTCTTTATTTTATCGAGTTAACTATCCAGATTAGATATAATGTATTAGTGTACCATACATCCAATCCACATACACCTTTATATATATAATATATAAATTTATATTATAATTCTTACATATAAGTAGAATTTGAACCGATCGGTTTTGGTGGCGAAGTAGATTAGTTGAACTTTTGAATTGCAACTATAATATAAAAATAATGATGGTGATCCACTTTGAACCGCAAAAAAGAATAATAGGAAATATCTCAACTATTTACTTTATTATTAATATAAATAGAATTGGCTGCGAGTCTGCGACTATCGTCACCATCGTAAAAAAAAACTGAAATACAAAAATATTTGATTAGTGATTATAATAACAGTGGAGTTTTTTTTTTTACAATGTATTTTAGGTAACCATAAATAACGATTTATTTTATATTTCAAGGAGGATTTCGTGTGTCAGACTGGCGGGACATGTAAGGCCAACTTGACTTATGTAGGGCCCACTGTACTGCATGCTCATTGGTCCGTCTACCACTTTAATTGGTTTCTTGTTACGATCTCGAGATATTTGCCCCCTCCGTCCTGATTCTTCCACGTGGCATATTTGTGTTCGTTCGATTGTGGCTTTGGACAAAACAACACCTCGGATGACCCATTATATGGAAATCCTGCTTGAAATATAAAATAAATCGTTATTTATGGTTACCTAAAAATAAATTGTAAAAAAAAAAACTCCATTATTATAATCATTAATTAAATATTTTGTATTCCCACTAGATAATTAAACTGGAATTATTTCAATACATATCCACATACTCATAGTTTTTGCCATTAAACATCTTTTCCGTGCATATTATTCTTTTTCGTTTTTTTGTAGATAAATTTCGTTTCTTAAAAATATTAGTTCATATTTCCGAGAGTTTTTTTAAAGTACGAAAATTATAAAATAGAGATATTAGAATAAATATAGTTTAATACCAGTCATGTGTCACGTAAATCCATCGATACCTTGTGCTATATATATATATATATACTGACAAGGACAACTAAGAAAGTCTTTGTTAACATGTCGTTAAAGGGATTTTATAATATTTTTAGGCATTAAACTTCTGTTTCTTGTTTGGTAATCGTACGATACCGTACTTTGAGAATATATTAAATTACTTAATCACATTTTGGTCTACACCAAAAATGTCCACTATTTATTTATATATGAATCAATAAGTATGTATATATATATATATATATATATAATTTAATACAGTTGATATAATTTACAAATTATTTAGCCATCTAGAGTTTTGATTTCCACTTAGTAAAAAGTAATGTATTCATCTCATGCATTAGTTCAATCCATTATTATCCAAACATGTCCATAATTTTCACAACAAATTGAGAAAATAAAAATTACAGATAAAAACTTATAGTCGGACATAATCCAAATAGATGGTTAACATTTATTATTTGGGAGCCTCTACCGTTTGATATAATTGTTGTGAACACATATGGAAATGTGAGTGTTATAGAAAAAGCGAGTTGTGCTGGTGTATTTAGATACGCAACTGGCAATTGGATTTATGGATTCCAACACAGTTTGGAAAGTTGTAACTCTCTTGAAGCTGAAATTTGGGGAGTACTGGATGTTTTAAAGTAGGGGTGGACGAACGGTTCGGTTCGGGTTAATCGGTCACGGTTAATTCGGGTTTGGGTATTTCGGTTTTTGAAAATTCATAACCAAACGGTTATTTAATTTTATTCGGTTCGGTTCGATTCGGTTTCGGTTTGGTTCGGTTTTATATATTTAAAATTATAACCAAATTATAACCAAATAAAGATTCGGTTCGGTTCGGTTATAATATTAAATTTGTTTGAAACATTTATAATAGAAAAAATATTCAAACAAAATATAATCATAAACATCTTAAGATATGAGACAACAAAATATAAATTTATGTCATAATTTGTTTTGATTTAAAAACAATAAAATAAAGGATTTTAAATAAATTTATCAAAAAAATGTTTATATAGCACAAAATTTAAAAATCATAAAAAATAAAATAATTTTAAAATAATAAAACAATGATTTAATTAGAAAAAAATTATATATCTCAATTTGTTATATACTATAGTTATAAAACAATATCATTATACTATTTTTCTAATTAGATTATAACATATATTGTATATTAACTAGTGATACATATGTGGATAAACGATTATATTCGGTTTATTCGATACGGTTAATTCGGGTTCGGTTTATTCGGTTTACGGTTATTTCGAGTTCGGTTATTTCGGGTTTTAAAAAATCATAACCAAACGGTTATTTAATTTTATTCAGTTCGGTTCGATTCGGGTATTTATCGGTCGGTTCGATTAATAACCGAAATACTCGAACCGTTCGCCCACCCCTACTTTAAAGATTGCATGGAGTAGAGGATGACGCAGATTCAAGTCCAGACGGATTCAAAGGTCACGGCTTGTTTAATCAATTCTAGATACCATATTTCCTTTCGAATTCGTAGCCTGGTGGAACAATGGTATGTCTTTTTGAATCGTGATTGGTAAGTGGAATTGAATCAAATATTCTGAAAAACAAAACTCAATTGCAGATCAGTTGGCTAAAGCAGCAGATATTCCTAGAGATCTTCATATTATTAGCAACCCTCCTGCTCGGATCTGTAATCTTCTATAGACAGATTCAGTAGAAATTGTGTGGCTGAAACTTATCTCCTAAGGGTTAAACCCATCATTTATAAATAAAAAAAATTACGGTTTTGTTTAAGAACCTTTTTATAGAATGATTCAAAGTATAATTCTATATTATTTTTTAAACAAACGGAACACCATAAAGAATAGTTTGAATATCTTTTAAACACCATCGAATATTGTATTAATGATGTAGACAATTTTTGCTGCTGAATTTAAAAATATTAAAATTAAAATTATTTAATTACCTTTTCCTTTGCCTTGGCCCGTTGGGGTGTCAAGGAGGTGTCAACGTTAGAGACCTAGAGATCAGCGACAGGGCAATAATTGAATAAGAGTTTGCTATTTTTAGAACAACCAACCTTCAGACTTATTTACCATTAATAGGCATATTCCATTTTTATTTTACTATAATATAATAATTGTCATTTATGTAGTTAATTATTATTATTATTATTGTTAAGTTAGGGTTTTTTTTGACAGAATAAGTGAGAGAAAAGAAAACAACTTATATATATATATATATATATATATATATAAAAGACAAATGAGGTTTCAGTACACCAAGGGACAATGCGACTTGCGAAATCATTGAAACAGCCAAAAACATTTGGAATCAATTCCCCAACCAAAACATTTTTTTTGACAAATAAATTTTGTTGTGTTGTGTTGTGTCGTGGGAATTGGGATTTCATTCCGCTAGAATCGGTTATTATAATTTATAAGCCGTAATTTAACATTCAGTTTTTATTAGTAATTTAATATATAAAATAATTCTAATATATATGGAGCTTTTGACACAATGTTTTTGCATGGGGACAGCCCGGGCCAGGCTTGTGCTTGTCTTAACACGATGGATGGGCGTCTGAATTCAGGACCACTTAACGTTGGTGTTACGAATACGCCAACCTTTAAGCCTTAATTGGATTTTCAATTTTTGTTTGTGGTTGAATAAAAGGCCATGATAATTGGGGTAAACAGGCCTTACAACGACACTCAAGTCTCATTGAGACCCAAGGCCCAAGAAACTCACAACGACAGCGTTTTGGTAGCCTAGCTTCTTGTCTGGTCTAAAAGTCTAAACATGGGGAACCCTTTCGACAAAACGAGAAAACACTTCTCCTTACCCTCCATTTTCTCTTTCCGGATCTTAGTTTCCTCTATTTGCTCTTCTGCGATTCTTTTGCGTCGAAATCTCGAAGCGGAGTACAGTACATCCACACGCCCCTTATCAAATTCTGCATTTTGATCGTCTATTTTTGTGGAGGGAGCTTTTCAAAGGTTTCGTCTTTGACGTGATGGGTATGTCGATCAAGTGTTCGATGAAAAGCGAACCCATTTGGAGTTGACATCATTCCAAGTCAAGAATTACCTGAAGAGAAATCGAATTATAGCAGGGAGGATATGTTCTTCTTGAAGCCAGTGGGTATACAATTCTTATATGGAGTAGTTACCAGAAGGAGATGGAGAAAAAGAAGAAGTTCGAGAGGGAAAGGCTTCATGAGAAAGAAAGGGTTAAGTAACTTGCAGGGGAACTTTTGATTTTGGTTATTTTCATTTGGATCGACTATGTGATGTTGGGTCTTCTGCATTGGTTGAATCTGTCGTTAAAAGTGATCATGTAAGCCTTTTTTTTTCTTGGGTTTCTTTTCATTTCCATGGAAGTAACCTCTTGTCCTGTGTAGTTGCCGTCCTTGTTTCATGTTCTGGCTATGAACCCTTGGAATCTACTTTCATTGTCCTTTGTAATAATCAAACGTGACATCAACTGATCAATTTGAAAGAAGACCATCACCAAGATTGCATTTTTATGTCATCGATAGCACAAACAAAGTAATTACAACAAAGTATTCACATCATTCATCCACCACCACACAACGCAAATCAGCAATGTACTAATTCAGAAGCCTACTTTTACTGGATTTGTTCATCTTACGGCTCCTCAATGGCGTCAAATAGAATCTAAACATACCGTTTTCGAGGCTGCCCACATCGGCCTTCATCTGGAGAAGATGACTCTGTTTGCCCTCTACCCTTTCAAACATCCCTTCGCATGAGTTTCTTCTGGCCTCGACGCCATTAATGGAGCCATCGCATGAGCTTCTTCCACCTTCAAACCCGCCACCATTAGGAACAGTGGCCCCGCCATGAAACACACCATCGCAGGACTTTCTTGCGCTGACGCTGTAGCTTCTGATAAGCTTCTCACCGACATTTCCACTGCCTTCTCCTTTAGCCACTCTCCTGAGCTTTAACAAAGACTCTGCCAACGAACCCTCTATCGCATTTCCTTCAAGTTTCAAACTTTTCTCCGTTTTGGTTTCCTTCTTCTCCAGGGTTTTCCTCTGAATCAATCCCCAGATGCTCCATCCTTTTGGCCATTTGCTTCTAGACTTTTTTAACCCGAAACCATCCTGCTTCACCTCAGCATCAACACAATCCACACCTTTGCCATCGAACTGGACACTCTCGGGTTTGTAGTTTTTGATTGAATACCAATTCGAATCCCTCAGTTCCTTCTCCGTGACTAATAACTTTGCGCCATGAAACAGACCTACAGTTTCGGGTGATACCTTGGCGTTTGATATAGCTTTCAACTCATCGGCCTCGAGCAATCCCGGTCTCTTGATCGAGCTCGATCGATCGAGGCTTCTTCTTCTCTGTGAATCCCAGTAATGGTCCTTAGTTTGAGCTGTCCCCCCTGGAATTTTCTCCTCTTCGTCGTCTCTAACACTGGCTTTATCCTCCGGAGAGGGTTTAGCATTTTCCGTCACAGAGGACAATGTTGCCAACTTCGGATATGTCTTCCCGACCAGACATCCGTCCCATGATGCCCGAGGCTCCTCGAACGACGCCCGACCTGCGTCGAGAGAAAACCGAGGGTCTACATCACATGATCGACGTCCAAGCGCGTGTTCATTGGCTACTGCTAGTCCATTCCGAACGTAGATTTCATCATTTCTGGCGAAACCAGCATCTAGGTTTCCGTCTTTCCTCTTATTCAATGACAATCTCTTCAGCTTCCTGCCCAAAACCGATGCGATTTCCTTCAAATCCTTGCCGTTGTTCTTCTTGTTATGATTTCCTCGTTCCAGATCTATCAGCTCTTTCATCGTCTTGGACTCTCCTCCTCCATCGTCAGAATCTTCAACCACGAGTTTCCTCGCTTTGCCATTGTCAAAACCTTTGATTTCTTCTTCTTCTCCATCTTCGTTATCATCGTCCACATCCTCCTCTTCTTCCTCTTTCACATACGGAAATCGGGGCATCCGGATCAGGACACCGTCGTCCTCGGCGAAAAGGTCAATGAGAGAGCTACTACTGGACCCCACGTCGCACGATCTGCGACGTGGCTGCTCGAAAACGGCAGCAGAGGCATCGCGTGCAGAGTACGAACGAGTGCGGCGGAGGTCAGGGATCTGTACGGCGGAGGAGGAGGAGGACTGGGCCTCGATGAAGGCGAGGCGTTCGCGGAGGCAGGCAGCGCAGAAGCCGGCGGTGGGTCTGTCGGAAGGGTGTCGGTGGCATATTGTACGGCGACGGCGGGTGCTTAGCTTGTGGGTCATGGTTCAGCGGCACAGAGATAGTGAGCCACGGGGTCAGTCAGTCACTTCAGTCGCAGGGAGGCAGTCCCTGTTTTGTGATCAAACCCCTTCCTAAACCCTTTTCCATTCTCTTAATTATCACCTGCTTTATTTATATTGTTATTTCGATCCTTTTTATTATCGCATCGTTTTTTTTTAATTTTTTGGTTTAAATATATATATATATAATATATATATATATATATATATAATATGTCGTCCTTTAGTACTATTTTTATTCTTTTTCGT